TTGGCACCCACACTAACCCTCCGGTGGAAGAACCATTACTACAACCCAAACTAACAACTCAACCAAAATACTAAGGCATTTAAAGATACCGAAGCAGGTTTAAATGCAGAAATAAAGTAGAGTTCCCATAAATTCTAAAAGTCTAACAAACGAATTGCCGAATTAAATGCCTAGAACCTGAAAGTCAATGTACCAAAACATCTAAGGTTCAACCATAAGTCTAAACAAGAAGGGGTACAACCTCATACTAAACATAAGAAATCTAAGGAACTAGTCTAAGTCCGAAAATGTGGACATAAACAAAGAGAACTCATGGCAGCCCGGAAGAACTGACTCACCCTTGAATTCGAACGATCACTGATCTTCTAGACGAGGTCTGTCAATAGCCCGCTTGAAGATACCATGTACTCAACAAAGAAAGAGTAAGTGTAGTATCAGTACACAACTACAGTGTACTGTTAGGATCACGTGGCTATCCCACTAAGTGCAACATACATAAGCCATTACAACATAACAATAACATGCATACACCGAACATATACAATATCAATATCATTTTCTAACAACGTGCAATTTCACAATTCTCAAGCTATACAGTTATGTCAAGTCAATGGTCCTCTCATGGAATCCACACCCAAACTGTTAGTGTACCGGTACGTGGTACCCGTTTCAAGTTAGCGTGTTGGATCGTGACACCCGTTCCAATATTTATACATGTACGTGGCAACCGATCCCAATTAGTGTGTCGAAATGCAACACCCGATCCATTCAACAAGCCACAATCACAACCACAAGTATATTCTCAAAATCATACAATCAAGTCATTATTCATGGCATTCATCATTCATCTATCCTTATTACAATTAGTGTGATCAATAATGCAACATTCGCATACATACATGTATTATAATGAAGCAAAAACAAACATACATCACACAACATGAAATCACAACCATCACATACCTCGAACAAAGCTTGAATCCCCTAAGAAACTTGATTCTTCCCTTTCCGGATTCTTTTCGCTTGTTCTTGGTCTACAAACAATCAATATAACATGAGAATCAATAAACGATGTCTAATTACCCGGATTAAAGTCAACACTATCAACCCTAGATCAAACTCATGATCTCATTATCCAAATTAGGGCTTTTTCCACCATAATTTCTAGATCAAAATCCTCCTCCATCGATAATTACCCACTAGTTTACATTCTACGGATCGAAAAACGGATTCGCGGAGTGAAAACCTTACCTTTAGCCTTAAGAATGGTGAAAAAGGGTCAAGAACTCGCCTGGGGTCGTCTTCTAACTCTTAAAGTCGAAAAGTGCAGAATAAAATAATTTTGGGGTTTATTTCCGACTTAAGTCGCATCTGTCCCGCCACATCGGTACTCACCCAGCTACAGCGGCCCCGCCCTGGCGGCACAAAATCCCGCCATAGCGGCTTGCACGGAACAGAGAGCTAAATAAAGAATTTTCAAACCCCCATTTCTCAACACACCTTCATCCCATGACACTCAGAAACTACCCTCTCACGCTAAGATCGATTTTGGAAGTTCTACTCGCGCGAATTCAATTCAGTAAAGTCGTACGGGTTCTCAACGTCTTAGATATCTATTCATATGATAGAATTCATAATTAGATCTCCAAATTGTTACCAGATTTCTCTAGACCTTAGAGTCAAAGACACATTAGTTCTAAAATTGTCATGCTTCTTTCTTTATCTTCTCAAATGTTAAATTACAATTACCTTATCCGCAACAGGTATGTGCCGATTAAATCTTGCTTGCGAACAATTCCAGAATCCATAGAACAATGAGGAACCGAATGGCCTGCGGAGTGGCCAAATAGACTTGAAACTTATCCCGACTGGATGAACAATAGAGAGAAATTGATTGAGCACTGGAAAGCTATTGTTGACAATTCTTATCTAGTTGGCTTGGGTACTAATTGGTCCAACATCTGGAATGTAATGGATATGAAAGCCATCAATGGAGGGTAAGCACCTAGCTTTGGTTAATCTGATAAAAGAGGCTCAAACATTAAAATGTTATTGGCTCTCCATGATCTTTTAATTGTAATATTGTGCCTCAACAACTGAGAAAAATATACACAGATTTGCAGCAGAAGGTGTGGGTGATGAATGTTATTCCTGTACATGCACCAAACACCCTTCCCGTAGTCTTTGAACGAGGACTTATCCAAGATCATACATGCAAATCATCTCTTAATTCTCAAGGCTTAATAACAGGTTACATATTGACCTTTTCTCCTTTATTGCAATCCTTTGTTTTAGTTTTCCCCTCATAAAATATATGGATGATCCTGTCTTTCTTGATTATGAATCAAGACGAAAAGTCGGACGTACTTGTTCAGTTCTGGTCATTCTTCTATCAATATTGCTCTAAAAAGGTGACTCATATATTATCTATCCAGTCGGTGTGTGTATGAACGAACAGGTTCCACCTCTTTTTGGGCTATATTCCCTGCTTGTCCCCCATACCCCTTTCAGCAAGGGTTCCTATAGTTTCCAAAAATCTTCTTCCGACCTCTGGAGGTGGTGTGTCAAGTTTGAAACTTTCCATTTCCAGACTTCAAAATTTCTTCATAGCTAATTAATTAAGTGGTTCATTCACTGCAGGTGCAAGCATCCCATTGTGATTGTGGTTGAGATGGACCGTATATTACGTCCTGGTGGCTGGGGAATCATACGTGACAAGGTCGAAATACTTGATCCATTAAAGAAAATATTGAGAAGCTTTCACCGGAAGACTTTCGCCAAAGATAAGAAAGGCCTCCTTTGTGCTCAAAAGACAATGTGGAGACCTTGTTGAATGCTTAGAGGCAAGTCATTTGATTATTTGGACTATATCATTTTCTTGATGCAAGATCTTCTGTATCTTGTATTGAGTAATTATAATATATATCAGTGTTTGTGTAATTGGAAATCGGATTAATTTGTTTCACAGTACTCTCATATATATCCAGATTGCATATATATTACTAGTATTCTCATCAGGACATATTAGCTAGCTAGTCATTAAAATTGGAGAAGACCTACACAGGAAATAGGCGGAAGTAAGTATTATTTTTTTATACTAGGAGAAGAGATACAAATACAGATACGTTCTTCCATTTTATAACAAAAATTACTATGCATGACTATCAATCGATCGATCAATAGATAGCCTTCTTGGGAATGATGATTTTTCTTGGGTTGCTAATTGGACCACAACCTCGGGTGTCGAGGTTAGCCGTCGGACAGTCCACAAATCTTCTCATCGTTTTGCTTGTCACTTTACCAAGAGGTCAGTCATTTTGTAAGCGGCTTCGTCACTATGCTGTGGCGGCAAGCTGCACTCCAGACTATGGCCAGTGGAAATTTTGACCAAAGTAAGCTGAATTTAAAACCAATTCACCTAACTAATACGTTTTTTAAGTTTTTTACAAAAGTAGTATAAACGTACTTCATAGTAACGTTTTAGGTTATTTTATTTTTAAAATTCAACAGAAAAGCTAACGGATCTGACGACGTTAAATGAATAAATGTTACTGTGAGTAACGTTTTAGGTGTAAAACGTTACTCACAATAATGTTTATTGAGAATTCAATCACATCCAATCCTGTAAATTCAGAATGAAATCCTGCAAATTTAAAACGTTACTCACAATAACGTTTATTGAGAAATCCAATCACATCCAATCCTGTAAAATTCAGAATGAAATCCTGCAAATTTAAAATGTTACTCATAGTAACGTTTTACACCTAAAACGTTACTATGAAACGTTACTCTGAGTAATGTTTCTAAAGAATCCAATCACGGGCCTTCGACTCCTACAAATTTAGAATCGAATCCTATAAATTTAGCTGTAAAACCTACTCATAGTAACGTTTTACCTTAAAAATGTGACTGTTAGTTACAACACATGTGATTATAAAATAAATGTTGTTGTACGGAATTTTTTTGCATATTCCAACAATATTCATCAAAATTTTCACTTGTGTTGCCTATTGTTAAAATAATATTCACAAAACTTCATCAGGTATGAATTAAATAAGTCAAATTTATCATATTATGTTAAGTTCTTACTATAGCTTTAAAATTATTTTTCTAATTTATTAATATTATTTAAAAAAATCTCTTAATAATATGATAAACTTGACTTATTTAATTCATACCTGATGAAGTTTTGTGAATATTATTTTAACAAT